TATGTCACTAGCAATTTCTCCTTCTTGATATCTGATACACGTTCCTCTTACATTTTAATTAGCCTTGTAGCTTTAAGTGGAGCCTGTCCTTCAACAGCTGAGATAATTTTTTCATTGTTTTTGAGGATCACTGTGCTACCATAAGGTGCCAAAATGGTGAGTAGTAGCAGTAACTGATTCTCTATCTTGTTGTTACTATTATGTACTTATATATATATATTGTTAATATATAATTGCTAATATAATCACAACATATTGATATGTTACCGTCAGAACCAACCCACAGTTGACACTCCATTGGGTTTTCAGAGGCAGCAAATCACAGGGGAGGAGATTGCCCAGCTTTTTCTCCATGGATCAGCTGATGGATTCAAACCCTGTGCCTTTCGGTTAGCAGTGCAGCATCTTACCACTAAGCTACCAGCAATAATCTCTTGTTTCACTTCCAAATCGATTCTTCTCCTTCACCTCTTTCTGCTGCTACCACTAGCATTGGTTTTACTGTATTTGGCAGCTGCACTGTACCTCATGGTAATATTTTCCAAAGAAAATGAAACAGAGCTAGAACGCTACAACACTCAAGAAGACAGGCAATACACAAGATTGGATGTGGCTGCCTACAGATTGAAGCATACACTATTATACCATAACATTTTTTTTAGATAGAAAGTATAGTACAGTACATACTTAAGCCAGTAACATAGGTGTGTATTATGACTATCAAGACCTATTATTATGGATTGTATGTGCAATGTGTCATTATATACCAGGCAGCAAAATAGCTCTTATATGAGAGACACGTGCTATGTGTGGGAAGCTGTTTTGTTCACTACCTCTAACTTGCCAACTGGGATCTCTAGACTCTGGTATACCTGATGGGACAATAGGTGTCTATGTGGCCAGGTATGGATGGACATGAGTAACTTTCAGTGTTGGTCAGAAGATGGATTAGACGTTAAAGTTCCTGATCCTTGCCACTGTGTTCTTTCGCCAGGTTATTCTCTCTCAATTATTAGTAAACATCCAAAACCCATTGGCTGTATAAAAAGAAAGTTCTAGCCACAGGCAGCCTAAAAAAAAAAATCAGGGTATTATCAATAAGGACTTCTTAATTCAGTTGTCCAATGGTTTGCTCAAAGTCCTATAAAAAAGTCCAAGCTACGGAAGCACTGAGAGCCTCTTTCCTTGCAAAACCACAAAGGTCACTCACTGAGGGGATAGAAGTGTTCCGAAATCAAACAGGGTTGACCAAGGCAACAGTCTTCCCAGAGCTCTTGGCTTGGCTTCCAGTCATGTCATACACCAAGACTCTCCCAGCCCCAGAGATTTTCTTCTTCAAGCATGACATTTATGCCTTCCTGTCCCAGGAGACCATCACCCCTCTCTCCTACTTTAACTTCCATCGTGCTCCTCCATTCAGTCTCAAGGGTCACTAAAAAAGCTAAGTCTCATAAACTAAACCTACTGTTGAGTATGTCAAGAAGCACATGGCATCAGGATGGGAGGATGACTCTTCAACAACCTGTGTTATGCATATGACACAACCTTGCTTGTAGAAAGTGTAAAAAACTTGAAGCACTTATAGCAGGAGATCAAAGACTAGATAGAGCCTTCAATATGAAATACATTTCAACATCAAGAAAGTAAAGATCCTCACCACTGGGCCAACAGATAACATCATGATAGATGAAGAAAAGATTGAAATTGTCAATGTAACTTACAAAATTACAAATAAATTCTGTTTGCTTGAGTCCATAATTGATATACATGATTTTCTAAAAAAAAAAAAAATTAAAAGATGGATTTCATTGGGAAAAAATCTGCTGTCAAGGACTTCTTCAGAGTGTTGAAGAGCAAGAATAATAATTTAAAGACTAAGGAACACTAGATCCAAGAAATGGTATCTTCTATTGCTTCACATGCATCTGAAATGTGGACAATGAATATGGAAGATCAAAGAATCAATCAGTGTTTTTGAGCTGTGGTGTTAATGAATAATACTGAATATCCCATGGAATACCAAAAGACCAAACTTGTCTTGGAGGAAATGCAAGGTATTTCTAGTGGTAAAGAATTGTTCTGCCAACGCAAAGCACCTAGTTCAACTCCACCAGCTGCTCTGTGGGAGAAAGATGGGCAATCTCCTCAAATGTGATAAAGTGCCCCTGTAAACCTGCTGGAGGGTCAGCTATGAGTCAGTTCCAACTCCATAGTACATAATAACCACATAACAATGGAGAGTCTTACTCTGACCCTTGAACCTCTGGTGTTAACTTTATGTAGCGAAAAGTTCTTACAATAAAGGTCTTGAGATGAGATTACCTGGGTTGTCTGAGCAGCCCTAACTGCAATCACCTGTGCCTTTGTTAAGAGTGAGGAAGGATTTTTTGACACAGATAAAAGAGAAAGCAATAACACCATGGAGACAGAAACTGGAGAGGTCCCATCAAGGAATAGCAGCAGCCATCAAAAGCTAGAAGCAATGAACAGCTTGACCCCTACAGCCTCTGAAGGGAGCACAACTCTGCTAACACCTTCATTTTGACCTCAAAATATTATTTTGAACTTTGTAATCCTAAAATGCTAAGAGAATAAATTTCTTACTTTTTTCTAAGCCACCTAGTTTGTCTCACACTTAGGACATGCTTTCAGAAGGGAACAATCCCTGGAGAAGGACATCTTTACTTGGCAAAGTAGGCCAGAAAAAGAGAGGAAAAATTCTCAACGAGACAGATTACCATCGTTGCTAAAACTCAAATATAGTAAAAATTGTGAGGACCAGGCAGTGTTTTATTCTATTATACGCAGGGTTATTATAAGTTAGAACCTATTCAACAACATATAACAACAATTTTTGGCAACTTGTTTTATCAGCCACAGGAAACGAATGCAGTAGCTAGTTCTTAAACTGTCCACTATATGCTAGGCAATGTGCTAAGCATTTTATGAGCATCTCATGTTACAACCTGACTCTAGGACCTGGGTATATACATACACACTGCCAGAGTTTGAATCCAAGTTTCTCTGCTTATTGTTGTGACCTTCAGCAAATTAAGCAATCTTTATAAGTCTGATTGTCCCCAATCAAAAATGGGCATATGGTGCCTTCCTTATTAGGTTGCTGGGAGGATAAAATGGATAATGCAGGTAAAGTGCCCAGAACACTCTGTGTGTGCGCGCGCGCGCGCGCGTGTGTGTGTGTGTGTGTGTGTGTGTGTGTGTGTGTGTATTTTAAGAAGTGAAACCATCATTGCTGTCAAGCCAGAAGATGACCTTCCAGCAAGTTTCCATCCAGCAAGTTTCCAAGGCTGTGAATCTCATGAGAGGAGATTGCTCGTCTTTCTCCAGAGTTGCTGCTGGTGGATTCAAACAGTCAGAAGTGTGGCCTTTGAGTTAGCAATACAGCTCTCCATGGATTAATAAATGCTGGCTGCTATGGAATCTCTGAGTTAGCAAAAATAGACCATCATACCAATCTGCCAGGGCACTTATAAGGCCTCCAGAACCCAATGCAGGAAGAAAGAGGTCCCCTTCCAGCCAGTTTGAATAGCATTTGCAATACAACATTCTGAGGAGTTCAGTCATCTTCCCTTAATTGAGCAATTTAGGTCCTTAATGCTGGCCTCATTTCGGAAAAGGCAGATTGCCTGGGACTCCACGAATTCTGCAGTTTTCCAGCAGACTTGTCCACTGCCAGCTCCAGTGCTTCAGGAAAGCCATCCACATCAGACCATAAACTTGGAAGACCTCTTTTGCAGAATGCTCAGCGGACACACCCTCTGCAGGGCCTACTACATCTTCCCCGATCTGTGGCATCTGGACTGGAGCTTGGAAGTCAGTGGAAGGCAGAAAAATCCACATCTTGGAGCCTTCCAAGGCCACTCCAACCTGTTTCAGCAGGCTGGGTGGAGTGTCAGATCATAGGGGTCGGTTGTGACTAAGAAGTTGCAGCCAAGTTAGAAGAGAATAAATAAGGGAAAGGAAATCCAGCATTATCACTTGGGAAAGGAAAGGGGGGGGGGTGATAAAAGAATTTTCATTAACTTAGGTCACCCTAATAAGTGGGCTTATGACAATATGTAATATGTATGTAATTGAAAAAGGCAGAGTCTCAGATTGCAGACCTAAGAAACACAGGCCATCTGCACAAGGTTTAGAGACCTGGGGAAGAACCACTGGGCTTGGGGCCTTAGCTTGCTCCTGGACAGGCTTTCAGCCCACATATTGAAGTTGACCACAGCTTGAAGTTAACCAGTGTAAGACTCCGGTGCTAGCCGCCAGGCCTCTGCCCAGCATGCAGCAACGCCAGCCACCTGCCCCCATCTCTGCCCTTCCCTATTCACTCTCCAAAGGAAAGAAAGATGAAAGCGAACAATTCCCCCTCCTTACTCTCAGGCACCCACAGATTTCTGCGCTGCCGTCACCACTGACGAGACCCAGGTCTCCTGGAGGAATCGCTTCTCCTTCCATCCTCCCTATCAATGAACACGCAGCAACACCCACGCTCCCGCTCCTCCTACTCCGGAGGGAAAGCGAAAAAGTGAGCGACATCTGGAGCTGGAAGCTCCTGCAGCACGGGCGCCTGTCTCCTGGCCCCACAGTCCCTAGTCCTATCCCAGCCATCCCGGGATCCCCAGCCAGCCCAGCGTTCAGGATGGTAAGGATGCTCAAGTCAGGTGCCGCCTCTCCTAGAGGCTCGGCGGTGGGGACCTCAGGGGACAGCGGAGTCCCGTCCCGAGGGAGTCTGACGCACGGCTGGTACCTGGGTCTCGAACCCAGTGCTCGGCCCCACACTCTTAAACACTAAAGGCACGACGTTTGCCTCTTGACCCCTGGCGACCAGAGGAGCACAATCTCAGGTGGTAGCTGGCGCGACCATCCTGCCCCCAACAGGTCGTGGGCTCGGGGCGCACGCCGCCTGTCTGCAGGAGGGGAGGCGAGCCGGAGCGAAGCCGAGGGGCCGGAGGGAGAGTCGGAGGGTCGGCCCCACCGCCACTTACGCGCGAGCTCTGGGGAAGCCCATGGAGAGGAGCACGTCCAGCGCCGATCCATGCTTGATGGTGCCGGGGCGCTGCTGGCGGTGCCGCCGGGGGGTGACTTTGCTGTACAGTTCCTCTCGCGCGGCCATGCCGAGGGCGCTGGGGGCGCCGTACTGAGCCATGGCTCAGCGGCCAGCCATCGCCGGGAGGCGCCGGGCCGGGGCTTGAGAAGGGAGCAGGGGGAAGGCTCCGGAATCGAGAGCCAGGCAGGAGGCTGGAGGCGGTGGGGCGGCCGCGGCGGCTGCCGGCTTCCCCGATGTCGAGACGCTGCCGCTTCCTGGTGAGGCCACCCAAGCCCGAGCCGCCGCCGCCGGACGGCTTCTGCGGGACTCGCCTGCAGCTCCTCTGGCCCTGAGCCCCGGGCGCCGCTGGCCGTAACCCCTGCTCCTCCGCCCCCTTCCTTCAGCTCGGAGCAGTCCGGGAATTTGCAATGAGTAATTTTTGAATGGATCAAAAAGGAAAAGCAGCCGGGTGGGCTGGCCCTGCTGTGCCTGCGCCGGGGCCCCGCCCCTCTCTTAAAGCGACCGCGCTGCCTAAAACTGCCGGGGCGGGGCAGGAGTATAGTCCGGTTGTCGCTAGAGGAAGATTTGATCCCGTGAAGACTCAGTGTGAATAGGCGTGTAAGAGTCAGCCTTTGCGCCCCAGACCCCTTCTTGTCTTGTGCATCAGCCCATTTGGGTCTCAAAACACCACATCAACCCATTTCAGGTTTCCTGTGGTTAATATGGGGTTAATAATGGAAATGCAAAGGACTGAAGGATGTCATTGTTGTTGTTGAGTACCACTGAGTCAGAACTAACCCATAGCTGACCCTCCAGCGGGTGTTCAGTGACAGTAAATCACACAGGAAGAAATTGCCCATCTTTCTCCCGCAGAGTAGCTGATGGATTTGAACAGTTATCCTTTGGGATTGTAGCGCAGTTTCTTGCCACTTGTTATGTGCCATCGAGTCGCCTGCGACTTTTACCAACTCTGTGTACAACAGCTCTGAAACTTGCCCTATCCTGAGCCAGTCTCATGGACTCTGACACACCTACCTCCATTGCCCCAGTTACTGTATCAATCCATCTCATCCGGATCTTCCTCTCCTACCCTGTCCCTTTAGATCACCTGAAAGATTGCAAAACCCAGAGGGTGGACAAAGCTATTGAAGACCAAGCTCCAGTCAGCCTGTCCAGTACTAAATTGAAGATCTATCATACTTTAGATAGTTATTTTAGTGGAGAGATTGAGAACTCTGGTTCTAGAAACGTACGGAATCTGGGAGGGGTGAAGGAATGAAGGAAATTGTTGTTGTTGTTGTTAGGTGCCATGGAGTACAGTACAACTCATTGCAACCCTATAAATAACTAAACTGAACCCTGCCCTATATCCTGTGCCATTGTTATAATCTCTGACACACTGGAGTCTATTGCTGAAATCACTGTGTCAATCTATCTCCTTGGAGTCTTCCCCTCCTTCGCTGTCCCTCCATCTTTCCAAGCATGATGTCCTTTTCCAAGGAATAGCCTCTCCTAGCTACATGTCCAGTGTATGAAAGACAAAGCAATGAAGGAGGAAAGAGGGTCAAAGGGAGGAATCAAAGGGGGAAAGGAAAGAAGGAAGGGAGAAAGGCAGGAGGAAATGGAAAGAGGGTGGAGGGAGAAAGGAGATGGGGTGAGAAGGATTGGATGGAACAGAGAAAGGGTTCTGTGTCCAGGGGCTCCTTTAACAAGTGTACAACTGGCTGCTTTTCATGAGGCAGTGAATACCATGTCAATACAAGAATTCAATGACAGACTGGATTAGTGAAGATGAAGAGTAACTGAAGTGCATCACAGGTAGACCAAAACAATTCCCCCTTGGAAGAAGCTCCTGCCAAATATCAAGTTGGCTGAAGGATTTTAGTGTTGTCCATTATTTCTTTGTGGGTTTTTGGTTTTGTTTGTTTTGTTGTTGTTTTTTTAATCACTGCTGAAACTGGGGAGGACCTGAAGCACTTGCTGCAGAAGGTAAAGGACAGTAGTCTTCAATAGGGATTGAAGCTCAATATCAAGAAGACAAATATTCTCACCATTGGGCCAAATGGATGAAGAAGTGATTGAAATCGTTAACAAGGTAGTTACAGCTGCCTTGGCTCCACAGTCAACACTCTTGGCACCAGCAGTCAGGAAATCAAAACATGAATTGCATTAGGTAAATCTGCTGTCAGGGACCTTTTCAGAGTGCTGAGAAGCAACGATGTCAATCTAGAGACTAAGGTGCACTTGATCCAGGCCATCGTCTTCACAATTACAGTGGATAAGAGAGCTATGGATCAGAGAGCTGGATAATGATTAAGGATGATAGAAGAATTCATGCCTTTGAGTTGTGGTGTTGAAGAAGAGTCTTGAACATACCATGGACTGCCAAGAAAACAAATAGGTTTGTCTTGGAGAGGGTGAAACCAAGTTTCTCTTTGGAGGTTAAGATTTTGAAGCTCCACCTCACATACTTTGGACATGTGGCCAGGAGGAGTTGATTCTTGGAGAAGGATATCATGCTTGGAAGAGTGGAGGAACAGCACAAGAGAGGAAGACTCTGAATGAGATGGATTGATATAGTAACTAGGGCAATGGGGTAGATGTGTCAGAGTCAGTGAGACTGGCTCAGGACAGGGCAAGCTTCAGAGCTGTTTTGCATAGGGCCTCTATGAGTTTCAGACAACTCTACAGCACATAACAACATCATAATAAAACCAAATAATTCATTGGGTTCTTGTTTGTGCTAGTCACAATTCACCATTAAAAAAACCACACATCATTGAATTTTCATAACGACCCTATAAGATGTGTTTTATTATTATTCTCCTTTTACAGATGGGGAAAATATGAAAGTGTAGGGGATCAAATGGTTTGTAATTGTTTGAGTCAGCTTCTGCCCACTGTGGTACCTTAGATAAGTGACTTGCCCTTCTTTAGCTCCATTTCCTTCTCTGGATGGATCGTGATAAGCTATTCATTTTACACAGATTTTTGTTAGATACTATCAAGTCAGCTCCAATTCATCAGCACAAAACCCTGCCTGATCCTATGCCATCTTCATAGCTCTTGCTGTGTTTAAGCCCATTAGTGTACTCACTGTCTCAATCAATTTCCTTCAGAATTTTTCTCTTTTACTGACCCTCTACTTTTACAAACATGCTGTTGTATTCCAAAGATTGGCCTTCCCTAATTATTTGATGAAGTATGTGAGACAAAGCCTTACTATCTTTGTTTCCCAGGAACAAAGGAACATTGCATTGCCTTCAAGATAAATTTGTTACTTTGGCAGTTTATAAGATGCTCAGTAATGTTCATCATCACCACAGATTAAAGACATCAGTTCTTCTTTATCATCTTTATTGCCCAACTTTCAGACACTTAGGAAGCAATCAAAAAGAACATGGTTTGGGACAGGTACACCTTAGTCTTTGAAGTGACATCCTTGCTCATTAACATTTCGAAGAGGGCCATGACAGCAAAGTTGACCAATGCAATATATTATTTGAGTTCTTGACTGCTGGGTGTTTTGTAGATCCAAGATTCTGGGTTCCATGGATTTTCTTTAATCCAAGTAAAACAACTTTTTGACAACTTCAATCTTTCCTCAATTTATCATGATGTTGGTTTTGAGGGTTTTTATTTTCTTGATGTTGATGTATAATCCATATTGAGTGTTATCCACACTAAAATTTCTAAAAAGTCAGTCCCCTACTTAAAAGTGGGGTAGAGGGATAGTAACTGGCACTTCATGGAGAAAAGGTTGAGAAATTTAGGGACATTGCTTCATAAGGTATCTATAGGTTTTATCAGGTGAAATGACATGATTTACATTCCTTTTCAGGACTGGCATTTTAAAGACCAGCTAGTAATGGCTGGATATAGAGAGAAGAGAATTCCTTGGGTTTATGCAATAATGTACACAATTCTGCATCACTAAGAGATGAGGCAAAGTGTCTATTTCCTGGGGGAAAGCGCATCTTTTAGAGCAGAGGGCATGTGCTGGAGGAGACCTTGAGGAAAGGGGAGCTGGGCCTGGAAAACTGCCTCCTGATGACGTGCTCACTTGGCATTAACACAATAAGCTGAATTTCTCCCAAATGGATGGGATCCTCCCCAAGAGATGATGATGTCTGTGAAAATGCATTGTAAGCCATAAAGTATAAATAGCTCAAACGTACTAAGCACATAGCATATATTGGTGTGTTCCTATTTTCTTACACACATAACTCATACAATCTAGTAACAAGGCTGTCCAGCAGACATATGACAAGTAAAGATGCTGTTGCAAAGAAGTCAAATCTCTTGTCCTAGATCATGCCAGGACTAGGATGCTTAAAATCTGACCAAACAGCTTCTGCTTTTGTTATGTCAGTAGTGAAGAAGTGACTCCGAAGACATCTGATTACAACCATTTTTTCACTCCTCCTGTGTCCTCTTAACATAGAACTGCTGGATTCTCCTTCTCCAGAAAAATGGAATTAATTGCCATTTGCTCTCCCTGCCTCTAGGCAAACTGTGAGAGAAAGAAAATGATAGGTATAAAAATAATTTTAGAAGCCTGAAGAAAAGCACTATGAAAATCGAGCATTCTAGATTCAACTAACTATTTTGTTTGAGGTGCTTTTCTAGAACTCCCATTTGGCTTTCTCACCTTTCTTCAACTTGGAGTCAGCATTTTTTACCTAGAAGAACAGTACTGAACATCCCATGGAAGGACAAAAGTGCTAACAAGTCTGTCATGAGGAAGTGCAACCAAGGTGCTTCTTACACATTCTGTTATAATACTTTGCTTTGTCTTCTCAAGCTGCCCTTTGAAATGTTTTGTTCCTCTCTTTTACCTCAGCATTTCTTCCTTTTGTTTCGGCTGTCAGACGTAATTTTCAGAGTCTCTTCTGTCTTTGTAATAAATGACCATTTACTTTCTTCATCTCTGATGTCATCTCTTAAGTCATCTAGTCTATAATCATTAGTGTTCAATGCCTCAAATGTATTCTGGAGGTGATTTTTTTTAAAAAATATTGATGCCTTTTATTTCCTTCTTTTAAAAAATATTCAGGTAGGATAGACTCAAAGTCATATTTTAGTTCTTGTGGACTTGCTTTCATTTTCTTCAGCTTAAGTTGGAAGTGGCACATTAGTAATTGACTCCCACAGGCAGCATCTGGCCTTGTATAACTTGGTCTCACATATTTGGGGCATGTTATCAGGAAGGGCCAGACCTTGGAAAAAGATACCATAATGGGAAAGGTCAAGCAAAGCAAAGAAGACTCTCAATGTGGTGAACTGATACAATGGACGTAATACTAAGATAGTGAGCATGGCATAGGATAAGCCAAGATTCAGACAGTGTCTAACAACAATAGTGACAACTGCCTTTGATTCTGTGCAATTCACTGGGAATTGGCAAGGAAAACTAATTTTACCTTAATG